TGATCTTTAAAAAAATTATTGACTATTTTCATAGGAGTCTTGCTGTTGTTGTGTTATTTTTGAGTCAGGGTCTTACTATTCAGTCCTTGATGACCTAGAACACCCTTTGTAGGCCAAACTGGCCCCAACCTTGTAGCAATTCTGCTGTTGCTTCCCAGGGAAAGGCTAGTGTGGTCACCGCCAGTGGCGGCTGCTCCTCTGCTCGCCCTGGGCTGAGGCCGCTCTTCTGCTCGCCTGGTGCTGAGGCAGCTCTTTTGCTTTCCCTGTGCTGCCTCCTGTCCGCTGCTTCTGCCCGGTCCTGGACCCCAGGGCTGGTGAGGAGACTGTGTCAGTGGAGCCACATTCAGACACAGGAGACCAGGTTCAGTGACACAGGTCTGCTTTATTGCAGGAAGGCACAAGCTTATATAGGGGTAGTGATCCAATCACAGCACAGCAAGTAGGATACCTCATTAGCATAACCAGTTTAGCGTCCTATCACAGTACAGCAACTAGGATACTTTATTAGCATAACAGACTTAGCATCCTATTAGTATAACAAACTTAATGTCCTATCACAGAATAGAGGGTAGGATGCCTCATTAGCCTACTGGGTTTCAGATTACAGAGCCTGGATTCCTGGAAACCACATGACCCTGACAGTTGCAATATCACCCTAGGCTCAAGCCTGTCTCCCACAGGCTAGGACACACCCAAGAGCATGAGTGTGGACTTCTCAAGAGAGAGTTCCTTTACATGCAGAGTAGCTGAATATAAGATTCGAGGCTTTTGAAATTACATTGCTCAAAGTGTTTCTAAGGCAAATCCCTCCTCTATCTCTTTGCTCCTTTTTGATAAGTAAAAGAATGGAGTGGCTCTGGAGGTGCCTTGGATAAGATTACAATCTGATAAGGCAAAGCCAGGGGTCAGACAGGTTGCACAAGGATGTTAAGACATCACTTTTACTGAATATGGGGTGGATATTATGTGATTACTTTAAAAAATTGAAGTTTTGTAGCAGGGAAGGGAGCAAGCCCATTTTGGAAGGTCATATATGTTTAGACTTTAAGCATAGTTGAGAGTTGATTGCAATTTTAACATTCTTATTTGAAATATCTCATAAAGAGGAATATTGTCTCTATGTAGGCAACTTTACAGCAAATGTTACAAGTTGTGCTGAAATTATTGACTCTCACTAGTGTGAGGCTTCAACCAAACTCTGGACCGAGGGCCTCCCTTCCCACATTTTGCTATCCTGCATCATTGCCACTTGATCGACTGTCTATTCCTAGGCACCTTCAAAATATGATCTACCATCTGCCAGTGTTGTCCCTTTTCAGTCCATCCACTATAGCCATAAGACTCTTCTTCAAACATAAATTTATGCATATTACTCCTCTACTGGAAATATTCCAGGGCCTCCCATCATTCTTATATTAAAGGCTAAAGTTACAAGTATGACTTACAATGGTCTACATGATTTGTCTCATTCTCCAGCCTTTTAGGCAAGAGAGAACATAATTGGCCTTTGTTAAATATTTATCTTGTAGGTCATCACTTAAAAGTAACTTTCAGGCTAGAGAGATAGCCCAGTGGTTAAGTGCACTGACCTTGCAGAGGACCCGGGTTCAGTTCCCACATGGCAACTAACAACCACCCATAACTCAATTTCCAGGGGATCCGATGACCTCTCCTGACTGCCACCGGCATCTCACAACACTGGTGCACTTACATACATGTAAGCAATACACTCATACACACAAAATTTTTCCTAAAAAGTACCTTCCTCTGTGCAGATTTCTCTTTAAGTCCCACTCATGTCCCTGCTAGATGACGCTTGTGTGTATTATACTGTCTTTGTATTGCATATTTAATATGTCTATTCCCCATAACATGTAAGTTCTGTGAAGGTATGGACCACAGCAAACCTGCTTTCCTTCATATCTTTAGTACCCATATCTTTAGATGCATGGATGGTCGATGGGTAGATGAGTGGAAGAAAGGAGATTGGAAATATCATGACCTACTTTTCTTCCCCCCCTTCCCCTCCCCTTTTTTTTTTACATGTTTTAATCACTTGGCTCTACCACCATATAAGAGTTATGAACAAGTAAAAGGAAAGCTTCTTTTTGCAATAGAAGAGACAGAAGGATTTGGACAAGAATGAATGTGACTTCTTGTCCAGGAGGAGCTCTTGCATTTAAATACCCCCAGCCAAGAAAAACTGCATAGATAGTGTATATAAGCTGTTCATTCTGTACAGTTAATTTTCTGAACCTCTCAAAGCATAAATGTTTTCCACTTTTCCACAGAAATATGCAAAACATTACATTGATTTCTATTTTATTTATTGTTCCCTTGAAATGACTGACCAGGAAAAAGATTGTCCTTAAGTTTTGAAGCAAGCAAGAGAATTTATTAAAAAGTATATATCTATATAAACATATATGACAGTGGCTATATTTTTATAGAGCTCTAATGTATTAAACATGACAGCCATTCATTCACAAAGATCTGAATTTGCTTTACCTTTTTTCTACTATCCAGGGGAAAAGTGCAAAATCCTCCATATTCTTCCCCTGAGTGTGTTTAGCTGCATGGCTTTGGGGAAGGTATTTAGGGCTTAGGCCAAATCTTACTTTATTTAAAAATACTGCTGGCTTTTCTGAAGAGAGGTGCTTCAACTTGCCAAGTTGTTTGAAATGAATAGGTAAGTTTCTCATCTTTGTTACATCAGTAACATACAGGGAAGTCATGTTACAGATCTGATAGTTTTTAGTTAGCAATTGGAAAGGATTCATTGAGCAGCAGGTTTGTTTACATGGTACTTTGGGATGCTAGGTATTTGTGGATTTTAAAAAGAATCAGGCATTTGTGTACTTATGTTTTAAAACCTGTAATGTTCTTCAAATTTAATTCATAATAAATTGATGTAATTTAATACTTAGGAACATCAAAAAGCTAATGAACATTACTGCTTTTGTGCTCAAGGTTTAGTTTTATGGAATTAAATTAAATGGATTGAAAAATTGCATACTTACAAAAAGAAGTTTTTGTTCCTTTATTAATATTACAAAAATAGCTATTCCTTGAAACACCTTAAGATTATTTTATAGGTGTGGTAGTGTATACCTTTAACCTAACACTTATTAGGTAATGGAGGAGGATCATGAGTTCAAGATCATCCTCAGGTACAAAGGGAGTTCAAGGCCGGCCTAAAGTATATCAGATGCTGTTTCAAAACAGAATAAAACAAAAACAGAAAATGATTGTATTGAGTTGATCATTCATTTATTTATACTGACTTGTAGTTTGTTTCTGAAATATCTTCATTTCAGAAACAGTCAAGAGCTGTTTTGTGTCATTGAGTGTAGACGCATGAAGACATGGACTTGTTCAACTCCTCATTTCCTTACTAATAGCTCACTGTAAAAATTTCTTTTCTGGTCTAAATCCATCCCTTTTCTGTCCACTAGAATATGGATACTGTTGCCAAGTTAATATTTCTTTCTTCTTGCCATTTTTATACACAAGAAACTTCATTCACTCTGATCCAGAAGGTCTGATACAAGACTGAAACCCAAATATTGTATTAAAAACTCCCCCAGATAATTCTGATTAACCGTGCTTTAACATTGCTGAAATAGGGGGAAGGAGGTCTAAATGTTATCAAAATACTTTGTGTAAATCAATAAAAATATTTTTAAAAATTCAAAATTGCTGAAATACACGTAATGTATATTTAAAAAAAAAAAAAAATTGTGGCCGGACTTGGTGGCGCACACCTTTAGTCCCAGCACTCAGGAGACAGAGATAGGCAGATCTCTGTGAAATTAAGGCCAACCTGGTCTGTATAATGAGTTCCAGGCCAGCTAGAGCTACAGGGAGACCCTGTCTCAAAAATATGCAAAAAAGAAAAGAATTGTGTAAATGGTTATAGATAGAGTTTAGAAGCAAATGGAAATGGATTCAATTAAATTTTGACCTTTACTCGCTTGCGTGATCTTGGCAGCTTACTTATCTTTTAGACCTGCATGCGTCCTCACTAGAAAAATGTAAATAAGATCTACATAAGGTTATGGTAATAAGATGATTTATGTAAATTTTCATTTTCATGCATAGTATCTTGTATATACTAAACATTCCATAAACATTAGCAATTATATTATTATAAGTCATCCAATTATTCATTCAACAGCTATTTATTTACTATATGTTTGACACTGTTTCAGGAACCATGGAAGATATTAGATATTACAAAATAAGAACCTTATTGTGGAATCTCTTTAAAGTAGTTGGGGTGATGGGCCCGAGTACGTAACTGTGTTGGTAAAGTATTTGCCTGACATGCCCTGAGTTGAATCCCCAGCACCTCCCAAACTGGACACACTGGTGTATGTCTATCATCCCAACACTCAGGAAATGGAAACAGAAGGATTATGAGTTCAAGGCCATCCTTGGTTGCATAGCAAGTTCAAGACCAGCCTGGAATACAGGAAACCCTGTCAAAAGAGGAAGAACTAGAATTAGAGACATAAAATTTTCATAGTATTACACAATGAAACATAAATATTAAAATATTATAAATCTCAAATAGTAAATAATGTTAAGGGGAAGACACTAACCAAGCATGTTGGCTTGTTAGCATGAAAAAAAGAGAGTAGAAAAAAAACCTCTCAAATTGCTCTTACTAAGCCTTCAGAGGTCTACTTTTGATGCTGCCTGCCAGATGGAAAATGATGCAGAGGGAAAAAAATCCTGTATTTACTTCTCAAAATTAAGACAGGATGGGGGCGTGTGTTTGAGGGGTGAACATATGTCTATAAATATGGTATAACTCTTAATTGGTTCCTGACGATTAAAATTGAAACTGTTTTCCTTGGAAAAGCACAGATATATTTTTGCTTGCAAGTCATTTTTCACCTCGTTAAACCAGAAATCAAACATTAGATGAAGGTTGCAATCCTATTTTGATGTATATTGATGCACTCTTCTTTTTCTGTTCTTTTATTCTTTTTCAGGGTCGCTATGGCAACTGCATCTTCTCAAGTTCTGATTCCAGACATCAATTTTAATGATGCCTTTGAAAACTTTGCTTTAGATTTTTCTAGAGAAAAAAAGCTACTGGAGGGACTAGACTATTTAACAGGTATGAAAGTACTGTGCTTCCCTTCCCAATTTTTCTTTCTGTGTGCTTTTAGTTTAAAGTAATGTAAAAAGGGTAATATTTACAGTGAAAATGTTTTTATAAGCTTAAAAATAATACATGCATATTTTAGGATAGATTGTAGCTTAGTTCGTGTAATATAAGAGAAAAAAAGAATTGCTGGGGACTGTTGCTCACCTACAGAGAGCTTGACTAGTATTATGAGGTCCTAGGTTCAATCCTAAGTAAAAGCAAAACTAAAAAATGATCATCAAATATTTATCTCTTATAAAGCATCATGTGAAGCCCCTTAGCTATTAGGACCCAGGATTAGTTTTATTAGACAAGTTTTGCATATAAGAAATAGCTGTCAGAAATGACAGTACACAGCTGGGTGTGGTGGCACATGCCTTTAATTCCTGCATTTGGGAGGTAGAGGCCTGTGGATCTCTGTGGGATCAAGGCCAGTCAGGTCTCCATCATGAGTTCCAGGCCAGCTGTGGCTAATGGAGACCCTGTCTCAAAAAGACCAAAAAACAAACAGAAAAACAAGTGACAGCATATAATTGTTAAAATTTCAGAAATAAAGGCTAATAAATGACTGAAAAATAAAAAGAAAGGGATAAGGGATAAAAGTAGCCCATTAAATGCTAGCTACCCTCAGGATTACTGCATGATAATTTCATGAGAAAAATACACAATAAGTTTATTTGTTTGTAGCTATTTTGTTAATACAGGAACACAGCTATTATTTATGAGCTACTATGTTCCAGACACCGTATATTAACTCTATATCATTAATCCTCACAACAAATCTGTAAGGTAATTATCATTCCCATTTTGCAGATAGGAAATTCACATTAATTTGCATTTGGATAAGCTGTCAAATGTCTGTGAGAAAACGTCCTTTGAAATGAAAATAGGCCAAGGTCCATGTAACAAGAAAACTATATATTTTGCTTTTATATCGTCATACAAGTTTTTTTTTGGTGTTTTTTGAGACAGGGTCTCCCTGTAGCCACAGCTGGCCTGGATTCACTATGGAGACCAGGCTGGCCTTGAACTCACAGAGATCCACCTGACTCGTGTGGCACCATGCCCAGCTTACAAATGAGTTTTCAAGGCATTCTGGAAAACCGGAGGAACCATCATGATAATTTAGGTTTATACATTTGCCCCCAAAGTGGTTCTGGGGAGTTTGAGGTCTCAGGATGCTGCTTCTGTTTTTGGTGTTCTTGCCCATGTTTGTCTGTAGGTTGGGGTTAGGCTGGTTTAGCATGTATGAAGCCTTGGGTTTAATCCCCAGTACTGAAAAAAAAAAACCAAAACACAGGAAACAAAAACTCCTACCTCCTTGGGAAATGTTGAGTTAGGTACGAAGTGCAAGAGTTGTTAAGTTCCAGAAAGAAGTTACTTTCCTTACCTTTTTAATCAACTTTTTCTTTCAGCCCCAAACCCACCATCTATCCGAGAGGAACTCTGTACTGCCTCCCATGACACCATTACAGTCCACTGGATCTCAGATGATGAGTTCAGCATCAGCTCCTATGAGCTTCAGTACACCATATTCACTGGCCAGGCTAACTTCATCAGTAAGTCATGGTGTAGTTGGGGCCTGTGGCCAGAGATAAGGAAATGTAAGGAAGCAGTAAGCTGCTCAAGATTGGCCGGTGCGCCACGAGGCAAGTGTTTGTAAGACATGTTAGGTTGTTTAGTATAGTCTTTCATAGATAGTGTAAGCTCTCCAGGGTATTAAAAAAAGTTACTGATGGGTGACAAGCCAGTTGTGGATTTTCTTGCTGGGTAGTCACCGGGATCACTCCTAACTGTTGATGTAATTCCTAGCCTTATCTCCATCCGTACCACTCCATTGATCAAAGAAAAGCACTGCTTAGTATTTGTTCCTGAGTAGCCAAGTCACCCTCATTCCATGTGTGTGAACATCTCTCTCTCTGATTCTTCTTCCACTTCATTACCATGTTTAAAATATATTACCTTTAAGGAATATTACTTCCTTTATTATACCTATTTGTATCTGTGAACATGGAGATAAGCCTCCTGCATCTTTCACTCTTCTTTACTCCTCCCTTTCTACAAAGAATCCCAGGAAATATAAAAACACATCCAAGCCAGGTGCAGTGGCACATGATTGCAATTTCAACACTCAGGAAGCTGAAGTAGGAGAATGGCAAATTCAAGGCCTCTCAGGAAAACAAAACAAACAAAAAACCATAACAAATAGATCACAAAATTAAAGATGCTTTTCTTTTTTTTTTTTTTTTTTTAAAAAGCAGTTGTTTAGCTTGCCTGTTAAGATGGTTTCACCTTCTGGTGAATCGGAATAATACAAGGAAAAGTAGGAACTTCACTCTTTGAAGACAGTCAGTAGGCACTGAGCTGAACCTGCCCCTCAGTTCACTGGATGAACCCATAGAAATGAAAGCCGAATAAAGACCAGTACTGAATGCCCCTTCCAGTATTGTTTGCATAGCTGCAAATTACTATTTCCTTTTACCTTTGCAGTTTGCATCTGTATCTGTCTTCACAGGCCATTAGGGGTGGAGTCTTTCCAAATAAACCCTCCTTGTGGGCTTTCTTTTCCTATTCTGTGACATTTCTTTGACAGATTTTTATTATGTGACAACAGTGGGGAGGGGCGATAAAGGGACATGTGGGTGTTAAACATTTAAAAACACTTGCCTCATGCAGCTCCGATCTAAGCCAATTGGTTCATGTAGCTGAGTTCCTGGGTGTTTCTTCAGGTTATGATGTCACAGGTGCTAAGGTCTTACAGACATACTTTATTTTGTAAGTTCTGGAAAGTGTTAGAAATAGCATGTGTCCTCAGGCTCCCTGATATGGGAAGAGCAGTGCTTTCCCAGAAGTGGAGAAAAAGTCCTACAACTGACAAAGAGCTAAAAATTGTCAACTCTGTTTCCAAACCTACATTGTCCTTTAGAAATAAAGGCCTAAAAAATAATTGTTACCAATGTTCAGGTCATAACATCTTAGAGTTGGAACAGGCCTTAGAAGTTACCTAGTCTAATCTTCTCTTCTGCCAGACAAGTAAAACATTGCTAGTGGCTAAGTGGTATTCACTTTCAACATTTGATTGTTGCACAGCTCTAAACTATTTCCAGCACTTCCTTAGAAGACTGCTGTTTCTCTTTGTAAATAATAAGGACAAAAATAATTTTCATGAACATTCTGTTTTGCCATTCCATATACATTATCTTATTTAGTTCTTATGTATTTTTATTTAGCCATATGGAAAGATTATCTTGATTCTATTTTTCTACATGATGAAATTTGAGGTCAAGTGAATTGCCCAAGGTCACAGAGCTACAAAATGATGGGGTTGACACTGGAACCCATGAACCTCAGACTTCAAGTTTAATGCTCCTGGAATTAAGCCACAGCTACCAGCCAGTCTGGTCTTCTGTGCCTCTTTAACAAACCTATTTCATCATTTATATAAGTTTCTTAGATAATTTAAGGTAACTCCTATGTCCCTTCGAAACTTCCTCTTTTTTCTGACTTTACATTTTCAATTCTTTCAATTGTTCCTTAAACAATATAGTTTTCAGACTCTTTAATGTCCAGTATCCTTTTTATGGGCACTCTTCTGTTTGTCAAAGTTCTTTTAAAATGTGTTGTGCCAGGTATGGTGACACATGCCTTTAATCCCAGCACTTGGGCAGCAGAGGCAGGAAGATCTCTATGAGTTCAAGGCCAGCCTGGTGTCCATAGCAAATCCAGGAGACCCTATCTTTAAAAAAGACCAAAAAGAAAAAAAATGTGCTGTGAAAAATGACTATAAGTACCCCCAAAGTGGTTTGATCTCCCCCAAAGGATTGTTGAATTCTGCCTGTCTATCTCTCTTGAGACTCTCTTGTAACTAAGGATGCCCTTCAATTTACAATGGAACAGAGGATGACCTCGAACTTCTACCTTCTGCGTCTACTTTTTGAGTGCTGGGATTATAGGCATGTGCGACCACACCTGGTTTTATGCAGTGCTGAGGATGGAATCCAGGACTTTGCTCATGCTACTCAAATACTTTATTTTACCAAATCAGGTGTAACCCAGACCCTGCATTATCTCTTGTGCATGATCTATTGCCCTCATGCCCTGTATGTACCTTTTTTGGCAACCACATTGACTACTGAATATTTACTTAGTATATATAGTTAACTGAACTCCCTATGTATTCTAAGTTCCATTTCCATACCATTCAAACTCAGTACCTTTGAGTTTATGCTTATTACATTTTATCTCCTTAGGTTTGGTCCCTCATTCTATCATGCCACAATCTTCACTTTCTAAGTCATTTGCCTTCCCTCTCAGCCTGACTTCTATGCCTTCATTCATCCATTAAGAGAAAAGTTCAATAGGAGAGGAAAAGAAGCAGAGCCTTGAAGCAAAACCTCAGATGGTAGTGAATTTTTTTTTTTTTGGTAAGACTGTCTCACAATATAGGCCTGGCTGACCTGGTAGACCAGGCTGGCCTCAAACTCAGAGATCTCCCTGCTGGGAATAAAGGCATGAGCTGCCACACCCTGGTGGTGTGTACATGTTTTACTAGAAGTAAATATTTATGAAGACTCAAGGTCCTGGTCCTGTCAGGCAGCCAGACATGCCTCTGTTGACTGAGCCCTAGTTCTGAAAGCTACTCTCGCTTGAAGATTTTTGCATTGTCATTATATAGAAATTTCTTCCTTCTCTTCTTCCTTCCCCCATTTCCCCCCCCATCTTCTATCCCACTTTCTTCTCCTATTTCCCCATCCTCTTTTTTTAAAGTCAGTATCTTGCTATATAGTGCTGGTTGGCCTGGGACTCACAGCAACCCTGCTGCCTCAGCACAATAATTACAAGCATGTGTCACTGCCTGGACAAAAATTTCTTTCTTGTTTTTAGAGTTAAGTTTGAAGAGGTAGTTCTCCCCCCCCAAACACACACTCCATTCTTTCTTGATTTTTGAGCGGTGTTCCCACCTCTTCTAAGTTTTCAAATGATCACAGTCAAAATTTCAGATGATACTCTTAGGCGAATGACAATTCCAACAGGTACATGTCTTCCTATACTGCATTATCTTTCCATTTCATAGTTTTGCCATACAAAGGCATTGGCTGTAACTTTGTTTGGGCAGTCAGTCTATAACATACTGCCACAAAGATAGAACCTCATTTCTTTACCTTTTCACTCATGCAATGGTCTCCATCACACATTTACATATTGTCTCATAGATTTCCATGTTTTAACATTTCCCTTTTGAACAAGAGTTATCCTTACTCCCATCACCATAATTTAGTTGTAAGTACCATTGTATTAAGTCTTACTGATACCCACATGATCACATATATACCTTTATAAATCTAGAAATGGGGTCTGGGGAAATAGCTCAGTGGGTAACGTGAGAAGACCTGAGTTTGATTGCTAGTACCCATATAAATAAAGCCTGCCATTGTAGCATGATTATTGTCTCAGCGCTAGGAAGGTAGAGATAGGAGGATTCCCCAGAGATTCTCAATATCTAGCCTCAACTATTTACTGAGTTCCAAGCCAGTGAGTGACCCTATCTTTGAACAAAGTAGACAGCACTTGACGAATGATGCCCAAGGTTGTCTTCTGGTGTGTATGTGTGCGCACGCGCACATACACACACACACACAATTGAAGATCAATTTCAAAATTACAGAAAAGTTGCAGTACTAACAAAAAGAACATTCATATACACTTTTAACCCAGATTTACCTACTGTTATTTTTACCCCATTTCCTTTCTCATTTGCTACCATTATCTCTATATTTTTCAGAACCATTTGAGAGTAATTTGCATACCTCTCACCCCTAAATTCTTCAATACATATTCCCTAAGAATAAAGAAATTCTCTTATATAACCATAGTACAATTGTCAACCTTTAATATCTTTTCAAAATTGTTTGGTTTTATTATTTGAAAAATTCATATATGCATATAATATATTCTGCTTACATGCTCCCCCCACCCTGTCTTAGCTCCCTTCCATTGCTGTCAGCCTCTCTCATCTCTACTAGTGCCTTCTCCAGAATCATAATTTTGGTTTTCTTTTGTGACCCATTTAATTAAACTCAGACCATCTGTGTGACCATTGGATTGGAGCTATCCAATGGAGCCTAGTGGGGTCATCAGTGTGTATATAACTGAAGGCAATGATTCTTCTTCTCCCTGAGTCTATCAATATCAAATAGTTCATCAGTGAAGGGGTAGGGCTCCCTAAGTCCCTCTTCCATCCAGGCCTGACTGTTAATTCTTATGCAGACTCAGTGCAAGCATTGGCAGCTGCTGTGAGTTCCTGATTGCATTGACTGTGTGTTGCCTAGAATATGTCATTTCAAAGCTCTTCTCCCTATAGCTTTTTCTTCCTGGCACTTAAATTCTTTCTACCCCATCTTCTGAAATGTTCCTTGAGCCTTTATACATTTATCAACTTTAATATCAATGTAATGCTTTTATTGTAATAATTTTCAAGCCCTTTTATATTTCTAGGATTGAAAAGTAGCTCAATATTGTTCATTATAATATATAAAGAGCCCAGTATTACCATTTATAATCTAAGATTAGGTATTGCATTTAATTATCATATCAATAGCCTCCTTTCGCCCCGTAGCCTTGGTCAGTGTTCTTGTTTCTTGTCTCTAATGATCTTTGACATTTTTAAGAAATGCCCCTTTGCTATGTGTGGTGGTATGTGACTTACAGCACTAGGAAGTTTGAGGCAGGAGAATTACAGCTCTGGTTACTTTTAGTAGAACAGTGATATTGGAGACCCAAACCTCAGAAGTACACAAAACTCAGCAGTACATAAGCATACATGGATTCATAGGTATAATCATGTAATATACATTTACACATACTCTATATGTATGTGCATCTATATCCAAGTATGAATACATATATAATTGTCCCTTGGTATCCATGTGGGATTGTTTACATGATATCCTGAGGACATCAAATTTCTTACAAAATGGTGTAGTGCTTCCTGGATACTTTAAATTATCTCTAGACTATTTATAGTGCCTAGTAAAATATAAATCCTGTATATAGTTATATTGTTTAGGGACTATCAACATAGAAACAGACTGTACATAGTCATTACAGACATAACTTTTTAAAATTATTTTCAACCTCAGACATTATGGCACTTACAGGGAGGCTAGGGCTGAACAGTCATGAATCTGAGGATAGCCTAGTCTACATAAAGAATTTCAGGCAAGCCTAAACTACACGGTGAGATCTTTAAATCTGTAGTTGGTTGAAGCCTTGAATGTAGAATCCAAGGATAAAGAGGACTCAGTGTATATATTTTAAAAGTCATGTAGTGTTTTGTGAGAGACTTTTTTCCTGGGGACATGAATGCACATGTTTACTCACCCCAGACAGGGAACTTAAGATAGACCAAAGTAATGATTGCACATTGCACCAAAGTGCAACTTGGTGAACCAGTGAGATTTTATTGCGCTTACTTACAGGAGCAGGAATGACTCAAAAAAAAACAGCAGCAGCACTGAAAAGCCCTCTACAACATGGTGACTGCTTAGGAAATTGGGAACTGTGGAGCTCTCTATACCTTTAGCAGGAAGCTCATAGTTTCTTTGAAGGTCAGCTCATCAAAGTCTCCTCACCCAGCAGTTTGGGGAGGGACCACCAAGAATCTTCCAGGTTTCCACTTTGCCAGGCATATGATATTTGGCTTATATCCTGAGTCTCATAAACTTCTCCCTCCCTCCTGGAGGGAGTGTTTCAATTCAGAAGAAACTGCTATACAACATGCAGCCACATCATGATCCCCAATCCTATCCATCTCCACGAGTTCTTCTTGCCTTCCCTCATCCCATATGTATGTTCCTTTTTCCACAGTCATATCCAGGGATTTCAACATTGGTACACGTATGCGTTTGCTCAATCCTGTAATATATCTAAAATATTTTCAGACTTGATTTTCTCAGGGGCTGAGGATGTAGTCCCAGTTCTCTCTTCTCAACAGTTTTCTATGGTTTCTATTCATTTTAAATGCTATGATGTTCATTTGTTTCCATTTGCCTGTAGTCCATACCTGTCCCATTTTTGTGGATTTAATTTTTGAATTTGTCAATTTAATTTTAGTTTCTGGATTTATTTTATTGCTCACTAAATTCTTTATTAGAGCTGTATAAAAAAACTTACATTCACAGCTCATTTTCCTTGTCCTTTTCTTCCCATCCTTTAGTAAAAGTATACTTAAAAATAGTAAACTGGGGCTGGAGAGATGGCTCAGTGATTAAGAGCACTGACTGCTCTTGCAAAGGACCCAGGTTTGATTCCCAGCACCCACATAGCGCCTAACAACCATCCATGACTCCAGTTCTAAGAGATCTGATACCCTCTTCTGACCTCCATGGGCATTGTACGGCACCGGTGCACTTACACACATGCAGGCAATACACTCATACACATGAAATTAAAAATATATATATATATATATATATAAACAACTAGTAAACTGAGAAAAAGATCTAACAGAAGAGAGAAGTCTAAATATTCCATGGAGTAGTGTGTTGTTACCTATTTACTGAAAGCTAGCTGAATGCATACTTTTGATTATGTGCATTTTCACCTGTTTAAAGTCAATGTAATCTCAAGATTTTCAAAAGTAAAAGTCTTCATCCTTGAGATACCTTTCCCTACTTGGGAGGAAAAACCCTTCTGAACCACCTGATCCAAGAGGAGTGTGAGAATCAGAGTCAGGTAGAGGTAAAACCATGCAGTAGCAGAGGAGAAGATTCCCTCCTGCTTTAGTTGTCATGTCATCTTGATTTCCTTCAGAGTCCAATAAATATTGGAAGTAGGGTAAGGATGCAGTGGGAGAACAGAGTCATAGGTCTGACAACCTCATTACCTTGTAGGGACAAAGGAATGCCCCCGCACACTGCGAATTAGCATACAGATCACTCACATAGGATAAATACGCATCAGGGCTCTGCTTTCTGCACCATCTATGACCACAGGCAACTCACTTTTCTTCTCTCCATCTTTATTTACCACATGTAAGATGAAGGAAATTTATGTCTGGATGTCCTTTCTGAGTTTTCTTGTTTCTGTGCTCTGCACAGAAACTGTTCTGTCCTTTGCAAGGCCAGATTCAGTTCTCACAGAAGTAGACTTTAGGGGGGAAATCCAGAGAGTCCATAACAATGATGATTCTATGATTTGGTATAGTAACCATTCCTGTATTCTTTCGCAGAAAAATTATATAATCTAGCTTTTGTTAGTGGTTGCTAGAAGCCAGACGCCTGACACAAGCCTCTATGAGAAAAAATAATGGAATCATAAATTCTGGTTCATCTCATTATACCTTCCAAGACTCAAAAGAAAACAAAATGAATTCGCTTGGATGCGTTATAATTGATTTTCAGTGTGTTTTTCACCCTGGCTTTTTTTTTTTTTTAACCTGTTGTTTGATGGCCCTGTTTTTCCCCCACTTCGCAGGCCTGTACAATTCGGTGGATAGCTGGATGATTGTGCCCAATATTAAACAGAACCATTACACAGTGCACGGACTCCAGAGTGGAACACGCTACATCTTCATTGTGAAAGCTATAAACCAAGCAGGCAGTCGGAACAGCGAACCCACCAGACTGAAAACAAACAGTACGTTGTGGTAATCCTAAGAGGAAAGATTTGTTTTCCTCTCTGTGCAAGGGAGGATGGTTAGCCTGAGCAGGCTCCCATAGTAATGTATGAGAGCAGTGGCACTGAGTAGAAGAACTTTATTGTTGTAGCTGGTGCTCTGGGGAAGGGCTTTACTGGTGTCCATGGGCATTTGTGGACAAAAAATACACAGAATTGCCAGTAGCTTGGGATGAGGTCAGTGAAGGTTTTTTTTCCGTCTGCTTTCCATCCCTGCCCCCCATGCTTGCGAGAACATTGAATTAAAGAGTACCATTTGTGATGACCTAGCAAAATTCTACAACAGAGGAGCCATGTCTGATAGGAATGCTTTTGACCATGACATATAACTGACAAGTATTCACAGGTAGCTTGAAGAATAGTGGTTTTTATTTGTTTGTTTCTTTATTTTTCTTTCTGTCTGTCACACATAGCAAGATGTTTGAAGGCAAGACAGTACATGCTGGTATAGAAGTTCTGGAAAATCATAAGGTTCAGGCTTGGTCTTTGTGAATTGGTTTGTCCACAAGGCCACAAAGATGGCCAGTGAAACCTCTGATGTCATCTTTCAAGATAGGAAGAAGGAAAAAGTTGGTAATCTTTTTATGAAGAAAACAGAAATTTTCCCTGAAGATCCTTCTACTCTGTATGACCTCTGTTTTTTTCTTACTGGCTATCCTTAGCAGCAAGAGAGGCAGGGACATTGAGGGAGGGAGAAAAAAATAAGGAATGAACATTGTATTAGCCCACCGTGTCTATGACAGAGGCATTTTGTGTAATAATGCTCTTGCTCTACCCAGCAATGGGACCCTGGGAACAATGCTTTTGTCATATGGTTATAAGGATCTCCGTTGTGCAACAAATGTTATCTGTCATCATTGATGATGGAACAGCCACTCTACAGCAAAGTTGCCTAATTATATGTTCTTTACCTCCCAATTTCAAGAAAACAAACCATTTTGTGTTGCTGAGTTCTCAGGCTGTTTTTTTTTTTTCTTTTCTTTTGTGAGCAACCGCCTCAGCACACAGACTTCTCCCACCTCAAACACTACAACACTCCTTAAAATCTACCCAAATCCCAAACCACCCACTGAAATAAAGCAAAGTACAAAACATATTTGAGGATGTGAGACTTTGGGTGATCCCTTTTAATGTCATAATATATGATGTTCTCTAGTTCCTGTGTGCTAGGAATATGACTTCCAGCAAAATACTCATATGAGAGACCCACATTTTTTCACACAGAGGGAAAATAAATGCCTTCATGAAGGTTATTTCATGGGAGAATGCGTTCTGTTCTTACTTAATTGCAGATTGTATCATTTTGCCTGCTTTCTTAATATAATCTAAACTATAGCCAACTTGCACTGACCCAAGAATCGTCATCGTATTGAGACTCCCCTGCTAGTGATGGTCCTGGAGGAAAAAGGTACAGCTTGTAAATGGTTCATCAGGCTTTTCTCTACATTTTTTCCAGGCCAACCATTTAAACTGGATCCCAAAATGACTCACAAGAAGTTGAAGATCTCCAATGATGGATTGCAGATGGAGAAGGATGAAAGCTCTCTGAAGAAAAGCCATACACCAGAGAGATTTAGTGGCACAGGGTGCTATGGGGCAGCAGGAAATATATTCATTGACAGTGGCTGCCACTATTGGGAGGTGGTTATGGGTTCTTCAACATGGTGAGTGGACTCATTTTTCTTCTCTCTTACCTTCTCTGCTGTTAGCTTCCTGGAAGATTCTACTCTATAGCATAATAAAAATATTAAGAAGTCAATATTAAAAGATAGATGCTAAAAACCAGTCCTAGAAAAAAGTTCCAGCATTTTAAAAGAAAATCAGGGAACTACATTGAGCCAGGACATGGAAATTACTCCTAATTGCTAGGCTTAAGAAGCTCTAATGATACTATCATAGTTATGCAAGGATGAAGCACATCTTAAGTCCTTTATAGATCGTATAGATCTAACACAGCTTTGACCATTCATAAATGTTTATTTCCCTGTCCTTTCCACTGTCCCACAGGTATGCAATTGGTATTGCCTACAAATCAGCTCCCAAAAATGAATGGATTGGCAAGAATGCATCCTCTTGGGTCTTCTCCCGCTGTAATAGTAACTTCGTGGTGAGACATAACAACAAGGAAATGTTGGTGGATGTGCCCCCGCAACTGAAGCGTCTTGGTGTCCTCCTGGATTATGACAACAACATGCTGTCTTTCTATGACCCAGCTAACTCTCTCCATCTCCACACTTTTGATGTGACCTTCATTCTTCCAGTTTGTCCAACATTCACAATCTGGAACAAATCCCTAATGATCCTGTCTGGCTTGCCTGCCCCAGATTTTATTGATTATCCTGAGCGGCAGGAATGCAACTGCAGGCCTCAAGAATCTCCCTATGTGTCTGGGATGAAAGCTTGCCATTAAGTGTCATGAGAGCATGTAATTCAATGGCTCTCCAGTTCAGCACTTCTACCCCCTCTTAAGCCTCCATTAGTGTTCAATATATGAGGTAAAAAAATAAAGTTCATCAAAAGCACCCTAAATAACTAGATACTGTAGATTTAATTTTTGTGCATTAACACTATTATGTTTGACTATCTGTATTGAGTTTCTCAGAACAAATTATCTGAGTAGTCTGGGTTCAAGTCATCGGAGAAGAAATTTAGAGAATGCGTCTTGTCATTAGACAATTACAAATTCCCAATGACTTGAGAGTACAAATGATATTGAAAGGAATTAGGGTAATTCTAAGTAAATTATGTAGAAAGATGCTAGCCAGCCAGAAATTCCATTGGTGGTTAGCCTTTCTAGCACTTGGCTCTTTGGCCAAGTAGAATCTGAAGAATGCCAAACTACCATATATTTAAAAACTTTTAATAAGCTTAGAATAAAGGGGTTGTTATAAGGAAACCATATATGTGTGTATATAATATACAAAATGACTGAATTCATTTCATTAACAAAACGATTATGGTCATTTTATGTATTACATATACACAATAAATTTAATTTTTTCATTTGATCGAGAAATATACTGAAAGGGAAAATTTGTTCTTATCCACTAAGAAGCAGCATCACAATCAATCAGCATTTCTCCCTTCTTTCCTTTAGCCATTCTTTCCTCTCTCTTGCCACACATACATACACATGCAGTAAAGATACAGACAGTGAGAAGAGCTCGTGGTGGGATTAGGAGAGATTTGGGAACAAGACTTCATTAAGAGATGCTATTCCTATATAGAAAATTGATTCTGGTATAAGTGTCCTGTGTAACATAATTTCATTGATACTACTTAATGGAGAAGTTTCATCTGAATTGTTAAAAATTCTGTCAGAATTTTTCAAAAAATATAGTTTTGTTACTCAAATACATAATTACTAGACTTAGGTTAAAAAATAGAGTTGCATAATGGAGTTTCTTGAAACTTGCCTTACTTGATCTGTAAGAATGGAATGTTACAGGTGTGGCAACTATTTACATACAAATGTACGTACATTTTCAGATGAAATCCATCTGAAATGCTGAAGAATGCTTGGGAATAGGCTTTTTTCCCTAAATAGGTTAAATACTCATTCTTTTTGCAATTTTATTTGTACTATTCATTTACTTAGCACCCCTCCTCCCTTCATGACAAACACAGACATAAATTCCATCCTAATCTAAGTCAAGATTGTTAAAGGAAATCGAGCTTCAAGATTTCATCAATTTGTAATTTCATCAGTTCTGTTGCAGAGACTGGAGATGCAAGGGAACCAAAGCTGTTGCCCAAGAGCTAAGTCTGCACCTTGGCAGGATGAAAATGATTACTGTTGTATAATTATGAAGTGATACTGGATTGACGCCTTGAAGCAATGTCAGAAGTTTTCCCCTCTTCCTCTCTGCTTGGTGGATGCTCATTTATTAATTTGTTCACTAATTGCTGTGAGAGTGAACATAATACTAAAATGTAGTCCTTGCTGTCAAATAGCTTACTCTTATGTACTTACGCACAAGATACAATTTATCTCCATAGATCCCACCCAATAACACTTATGATTTGTTTGTTCACCTACTGTGGAAAGCAAGACTGATGATGATTCAAAAGGAAGGCTCACATTTTCATGTCTAGTGGCAAAATCAGTTTATTTGACTTTAAAGACCATATGTATCTAGCAGCTAATCTGGAAATGAGCAACTTGGAAGAAATCCAGCAATGTTGGTAACTATCGTGTACTAGAAACCTGATAGACTTGGGATTCAAATACTCTTAGCTTCTCTGTCATTTAACTAGCAATGTGACCTCAGGAAAGCACTTCTCTGAGTCTTGTGCAAAGGTTTAACAAGTTAGCATGTATAAATTACCTAGCACAGCACCTGGCATTTACTATATGTGTTACCAATATTCGCCTCTGCTGCAATTTCCATTCGTTTATTTATTTTTGTCCTTTAGATTTTAGTTCCTGGGAACAAAGCTTTTAATTTCTCCACCCTGCTTTTGACTATGGCGTGGACTACCTTTCCTTACCCCTTTCTCTCTCAACTACCCCCTGACCTCTGAAACTGACTTATGTGCCTCCCTTTGACACTCCCCTGGCACACTGAGCGTCCTTTCTCTGCAATAATCACATGGTGTGGTAGTGTTTCTCAAAATACTATTTTCAGAATGTCATCCTCAGAAGACCCATAGTAGAATCACTGTTGGTGATTCGTTTGTTAAAACAATTGATTCTTGCTCTCTACTCCTGATCTACACAATTAGAATATCTGGGAACAGGGGAAATTTACATTTTTGACAAGCTTCTCAGGTTATTCTGATGCACACATAAGTTTAATGTATATTAATTATCTTCCCTGCTAGAGTGGGAATACCTTGAGGGTCAAGGCCATGTCTTTCATTGTATTTTTAATACCTGGCACAAGTGTCTGAAACAAAACATTTGCCTGGCTAATGTTTGTAGAAAGAATGTATGAATGAACAAATTAATAATCAAAATTTCTCACTCAGACTGTGATATCCATAGTGGTATTTATTATTCTTGGGCAAGTTGGTTACTTCTTCGTTTAGTATGTATTGATAATTATTTTGTAGATGTACCAGAGCTCGTACATGCAAATGAACATTGTTCCCAATTGGCAAGGAGAATTATCTTTGGAACCTATGGTGTCAATCTCCCAATAACAGTTCATGTTTTCATAAACTTCAAAGAAGTATAAATTTTGATTATAGGCAGCATTAAGCCTATTGAATAAACTGGGAAACTAAATAGGGTTTGAGGTAGACAGTGAAGCCTCACTGTAAAATCCCAACTTCTGAGCCAAAAAAATGAAATGCCTTCCAAGATACAAGATGGTAGCAGATCACTCAGAGGGACGTACTGGGTCCCAGAATTTACTTCAGTAAACTTCAGACTTTCATAGAATGCTGGCAATGGCAGGGACCATTGGCCACCTCTAGCTAAAGCCAGTAGCACAAAGGGAACATGACTTGTATTTAACATTGTCAAGGAAAGTGATTCCATAAGCTTTGCGGTGTTGCTTTACCCTATCTTAACTAGTCAGAACTCTTTCTCCTAGAAATTTTCTGTCTGCAATTTATGCTTGTTTTCACATTTTTATACTGTCTTATTGAAAAAAGCACAAAATAAAGCTAAGCCTCTCTTGAAAATATGAAAGACAATTTAATGCCACATTGAGGTTCCTGCTATGTGTAACTGCATCTGGCTTTGTTCTTATTATGTAATTCCATTGTGTGTCTTTGGATGCAGTGAAGCTTTTCAGCTAAAAAACTTTAGGTGAATTTTCTTAGCTTCCATGGTTTACATATTTATATATGACTACCTGGGCAGAGCAATTCATGGATGGACTTTTGAATAAGCTCAAATGTTTGGAATCCTTTCTTCCAAGGAATGGAGAATGTGAGGCAGGTAGATAGGAACTACTCCCACACTTATTTGTAGCTCCTGAAGCCAATTCCAGCCTCAGAGCCATTGGGCTGTATTTGGCTGCATATTATAAGTTGGCCAGATTTATTGCCCATCAGGTCAGGCAAAACTGCCTTTTATGGTGTGGTCTGCCAGCTTCAGAAATATGCTGTGTTATTGTTATTGGCTAGAATATTTATTAGATTATATTGTTGGACTATTTTTTATCAAATGCTTTACCCCAGGTTTGTTTGTACCGGGAACTCTGGACGAATAGTGTCTCTCCTGGTAACAGAAATATGAATATCTGTGGATAACACAGTCTCACCCCTCTCTAAATATCCCAGTCCATCCAAATGCTATATTATGAATTAAATAAATATATATGTATTCATGAGTTCTTTGTTGTCTCTCACTAAAGTTTCGTTGGGGAAAGATTAAATGGTCATGAGTTACCAGAATTGGGTAAGTGACTTGGGATAACGGTTGTCATATAATGGGGTAGAGATCTGAGCAAGTGAAAATCTAGGAGATCTGGAATTTGAGGTCCAAATATGAAGTCTTTGATTTTATGAGAAAGATATGGTCAAAACGTTTAAAGAAATGCAAGGTTTAAGGTTCTTCAGTATAATTCATCCAGTTTTAGGAATTGTACTAGAAGGTAGGAATTAAAGAACAATTAACCTCCCACTGTTGGAATCCATTGTTAAGACCAGAATACAACCAAAAACAAGTGAGTTGACTTCCTGTTAAACATTTGACCTGTAGGAGGAGCCTGGGAGAGTTAAAATGTCCCTTAAGCCTGGATTGGCCATATTCTAATAAGAGTTGTGGCTACACTGAGACTAAATGGTCATAAAACATGGAGCAAACCAGTTAAGAGCAGTAGAGAAATGGCTTGAAGTGGTCAGATCAATGATCTATATATCTCAGAAGCAGAGAAATAAAAATATAAAGGAGGAATCTGGAGAGATGACTCAGCAATTAGGAGCACTGACTGCTCTTATAGGATTTGGGTTCAAATCCCAGCACGCACATGGCAGGTAACAACTGTCCATACCCCAGCTGGGGGATCCGATGCATTTTTCTGGCCTCCACAGGCATTGCATGATACGGGTGCACTTACATGGAGGCATAACGCTCATACACATAAACAAATTTAAAAAAAAAGAACGTGGAACATTAATAATTTAATAATGGCTTATTGGTGGCCTGAATTAATGCCAAATATGAGACTGTTGCCCCAAACTCAGGGTTTCTTTTTTTTCTGGTCTTTTTGAGACAGGGTCTCCCTGTAGCCCCAGCTGTCCTGAAACTCACTATGTAGACCAGGCTGGCCTTGAACTCACAGAGATCTGCCTGACTCTGCCTCCTGAGTGCTGGGATTAAAGGCGTGTGCCACCACTCCCAGCCAAACTCAGGTTTTGATGAAGCATGTGCACGGGGCACGTGTCCATGTGTGTGTCCGTGTGTCCGTGTGTGTGTGTGTGTGTGTGTATGTGTGGTGATGTTTGGAAAGGCCAGTTCCATTCATTGTGCCACAGCAGAAAAAAATACAGATCCATCATGTCCCCCTATCTAGGAATAGAATTATTCTCAGAGTTTCAGTAATGCAGAGCTTGTAGTTGTAACCGTTGGCCTTGTTTGGCCTGGTCATTCAAGAAGCATTTACTGATTATTCTTTATATTTCTGGCATTCTTCATTTCTGTAGGGAACAGTGAAAAGAATTCTGTTAATGTCGATGCAGAAGCACAACTCTCACCACAAAGGGAAGAAAAAATAGTTTCTTCTGGAGACAAATATGAGTGACCATGGCTCAAGAACACAGATTCAGGTTACCCCAAATTCCACGCTCCAATGTGGAAGCAGTTTCATGAAGTTTTTATAGTAACAACACATGGAAAAGCCATAAATCAAGATTATTTTCAACAACATTGGTGGAAACATTAAGTAGGTGGTTATAGCAAAAGAGAAATCTCAGGTACAGATCTCAGATGCTAATGACACTCAGTCTTTTGGTTGGTAAGAGCTAGGGCTTTAAGGTTAATACATTCCAAAGGATTTTTATCTGTTACAGCATGTTAAGTCAGAAATAAGGAGTATGTTACTTAGGGGGCTTTAGATAACCCAAGATAAATGGTAATTAGGCTTTGGACCAGCAAGATTCTAACTCTCCATAATCACTTAAGTTATAATCAATTGATAAGCCTGTGCAGAAGGTCCAGTTTCAAGGTGCAGATTTTCTTAGACCCTTTATTCATATTAACATTCATAATAAAGTGTGCAATCCTATAATTCTTCTCTAATTGTTTTTGATCTCTGAATTTCATTAATTATTGGTGATTGAGTTAGGGAGCATAGATGAGAGTGGAGTCACTTACCAAGATACAGTATAGACTTGTGCACAGTCAATGCTTAGCAAATACTGGTAAATAAAATTTGAACCAGATCAGCAAGATGACAAGTAGGCTACTCTGTCCATTGACACGTTTGTTTCTGGTGAACTTAATACCACCACTTGAGTAATTTTCTTCACGATCATACTTCTGGCCTGGCATTCCGTGACTACTTCTTACCATTGTTACTGAAGGCTAGACTCCTTAAATGAAGGCAACAATTAGAAGAATTAATAAATTCATCACCAATAATGTGCTAAAGAGAGACTGGGCAAAATATATACCCTCTACTGTGAAGATTAATATTGCCAACTTGACAGGATTTAGAATCACCTGGGAGACAACAATCTGGGCATACTTTCTAGTTTCTAGACTGTTTATTGAAGTGGGAAGGCTCAGTCTAAATGTTGGCAGCACCAGAAAGGAGAAAGCTAGCTGACAACAGTATTTATTTCTCTGCTTCTTCAGTGCGAATGCAATCAGCTGCCTCACAATTCTGCTGACATGATTTCTCCACCATGGTGGACTGTACCCTCAAACTCTAAGCCAACACAAACCCACCCTTTCTTAAAAAGCTTTTGTCAGGGGGCTGGAGTTAAGAGCACTGGCTGCTCTTGCAGAGGACCTGGGTTTGGTTCCAAACACCCATATGTCAGCTAACAACTGCTTGTAACTGCAGGCAGTTCCAGGGGATCCAACTGCAATGCTTCTGCAGGCATTGCATGACACAGATGCGCTTATACACATGTAGGCAATACACTCATACACATAAAAAAATAAAATAAGTTTTCAAACAGCTTTTGTTAGGTATTTTATCACAGTGATGAGGAAAGTAATTAATACACTTATCAACTGAATTGTTTCTTCCTCAGAAACCAAGAAAATACTAAGATGATCTTCTAGAGATAATGCTTTCATTGTATAATTCAATGGTGAGAAGGCAGAGAGAGTAAACTGGATTTTCCAGAGTTAAAAGGGCCAGATAAAGCCAGATGTAGTGGTGCATGCCTATAATCTCAGCATTTGGGAGGTGGAGGCAGGAGGATCAGGAATTCAAGGGCAGCCTATGCTACATAGTGAGTTTGAGATGAGCCTGGGCTACAAGAGACCCTGCAAAAAATCAAAGTAAGTAAATAAGTAAATAAAGTCAGCTGGCAATGTGCTGACAGATTATAGAAGACATTTTCAGACAAAAGGAATCATTTAAATAATGGAATATAGATACAAGCTCTGCTCCCTGTGAAGCTGGCCTCATATCATGTTGCAAAGATCTGTTTCTTCTCCATCTGGATTAGAAGTTCTAGAAAAAATGGAACTTTCCCCATGATGGTAGGAAACAACCAACCATGATCTATATATTTTTATCCAGCTAAACTCCCTCAGGAATAAAGAAGGGTGCTGTGATATACTAGAAATGTGAACTTTGTATCAAGTAGATATCAAACATACAAGTTCAAGGCCTGGCTGATTCAGTGTTAAAGAGACAATGAATGACTTTTAGATTCGGTGAAAGAAAAAAATAGTCAAAATTTATAGTTTCCAGTGATCCTTGTCCCAAATGCCAAAAAGAATGGTCCTGAAAAAGGCTAGAAGACATCTATGTACATTGTAGAATGCTACATTATTAAGACACCAAGTCTATACTATGATGTGGCTTTATATTTGAGGCTCTATTCTGAGGGAAATGGCTAGAAATCCTTGCTTCTCATCAGAACACACAAGATGGGAGGCAATGAGACACTGACTGGATTAGTTACTATTGCTGTGATAAACACCATGACCAAAGGCAACTTATGAAGAAAGAGCGTATTTTGCCTTAAAGTTCCAGAGGGCTAAGAGTCCATCATGGTGGGGAGGTATGGCAGCAAGCTGCAGGATCAGGGAGCAGAAAGATCACGTCTTCTGTGGAAAATGAAGCAGAGTGAACTGAAAGTAGGGTGAGGCTAAGAACTCTGAAAGCCTGTCCCCAGTGGCATATTTCCTTTAGCAAGCCTACATCCCCTAAACCTCCCCAAACAATACCAACTGGGACCAAGTGTGGGCACATGGGGGACATTTTTCATGTAAACCACCACACTAACTGATGACAGCTTCCCTAGGGGAAATAAGTATGCAAGCGGGAGATGGACTTAAAGGTTCCTCCGGGGCCTTGAATTTTACTGTGTGCTCTGGAAGAGTCTCATAGGTATTCTTCTAAGACTTAGACTAGCCATGGGATAAGTGTGCCTGTAGGACAAAGTGTGAGGACACTAGGATGCTGGAATGCAGCTCTTCTATCGAGGCTTGCTGCTATTCCAACTA